AGCAGGGCCAACACCAGGCACAGGGAAAAGCCCACCCCAGCACAAGGGAGAGACTGGGTGATGGGAATGGGAAGGAAGGACAGAGCAGAAAATTAACTCCTTCCAGCCAAGTGCGACCTTACCACACGTACACTGACAACTTCTACAGGCTCATGGTAACACGCTCTGTGGTTTGGTTGGAGGATCCTCCCAGGGGTCACCCACAGGCCATCCATGTGACAGAGCAGCACAGGGCAAATCTACAGGGATGAAGCCAGGCTTGTGCTGGCCAGAGACAGCTCAAGGGCCACCAGCAAGGAGCAGTGGGTGCAGAGGTGCTACCCCAACCCAAACCAGCACACCTAAGCCCCAGCACAGGGCAGGGCTGAAACCCCCACCGTGGTGGAGCCCCTGGAAGGTTTTCTCCTCTCTTTCTTTTACCAGCAGAGCCCTTCCCAACCTCCCTGACTGCACAGGAGCCTTTCAAAGCCACATTCTGGCCATAATGAGCACAGCAGTGCCTGCCAAACCCCATCACTGGCTGCAGGCAGATGAGCCCAGCTCTACTCTCCTCTAGCATAGCTGGGAGGGATATAGAGAAAACTGAGAAGTTACCCTGATGACCACCCAGCCAGCCCCCCAGGAACCTGTAGGGTTCCAGATACCTGTATTCCCACCTTTCCTGCTCTTCTTCATGCTCCTGTCATATGTCAGCTCCTTCCCAAGTAGCTGCAAGCCCAGGAGCAGATGGAGCTGCTATGAACAAGCTCAGGAGAGCCACGACGAGCCAGGCTGCTACCAAGGCAGCCCCAAGCCTTCCTGCAGCACATAGGCCTGGAAATCCTGGGAGGTGCTCACGGGGCATCGGTGGCCAGGACAGGGATGAGTGACAGCACCTTCCCCTCACATTGCCGAGCCGTGCAGCCCACTTTGGGAGGCTGGGAAGGACGTTCAGCCCCAGTTTCTGGCCCATTAGTTTCCCTTCCCGCAATCACCTTCTCCGGCTGCGTTACCCCCGGGTGCACCGGGAGCCGCATGCGGCAGCATGGGGCGGGATGCCTGGCCTCACGCAGCCTGGACACAGCCACACGTGCTGTGGGAGCACGGGGAGGTCATCCATGGGTTACCAAAATGCAGCAGGAGCAGAGCGTGGGCTGAGGCTGCAGCACCGAAAGGTTTTCAAGTACCCTCAGTGCCTGGGGAGCGGCGCTTGCCACCATCCCAACTCCTCTCCATCCTGCTCCCGAAGTGGCCAGGCCACCAAAATGAGCCGGTCCCACACTCCTTGCAGCCCCTGCAATGTCTGGAAGCGCTGGGGAGAGTATTGGGGGCAGCTACGGCCCCTAAAGCATCCCTGCCTGCCCGGCCCCTGCCCGCTCCAGCGTAGCCCAGACTTGTCCTCATTTCAGGCTGGGCCTGGCCCCAGAGGTAGCGAGATGATGCCAAACCTCCTAATGGAGCTTGACAGCAGTGGGATTAAAAGCACAAGTGAGATCACAACCCCTCTGCAATCAGCTTCTGCCCTGGAAGAGCCGAATCAGAACAGAAACCTCCTGGCAGTGGGGAGGGGGTGATGAGCCCACACACATGCAGGGTGAGGGCAGCAGGGGCTGGGGGGAACCTCATCCATCCCCTTGCTTGCCTTGACCAACTCACTGGCAATAGGAAGGAGCCAATTTCCACCCCCCAGGCAGTACCAGTGAAGGGTTTCACCAGAAACAGCCCCAATTCCAACTGGTCCTAAACTGTGGCTGCAGAACAGCCCATGCCATGTACCCCTTCCTCTTGCTGCCTGAGAGCTCAAGGCATCCCACAGCACCCACAAGGACACCTCCTCTTCTCCCTCTCCTTTGCGTGCTCTGGAGTGGTGCCACTGACTCTGGAAACATCATCTGAGCAGGTAGGTCCAAGACAGAGAGGAGATGGGAGAACTCACTTGGTGCAAGTGGGTGCTCAGGAGGACACCCACAGCCCCCATTTCTGTGGGATGGGGTGTGCACAGACCCTTGCAGGCAGCACCAGGCCCAGGAGCACAGCCCTGCTTCAACTAAATGGCAGCACTGACCCATTTCCCAACCCTGGGATGCTCCAGCAGTACTGCTGCCACAGGTCTCCTTCATACTCCTTCCTGCCAGCAGGAGTATCTCAGCATTTCCCCCCAAACCCACCCAAACGGGCCTTTGCAGAGATTAAGTGTTGGTCAGCTTGCATGACCCATCCCAGGGGCGCCCTCCAAGTCACCCTCCAAAAATTCAGCAAGGCACAAGCACCATCCCCATCTCTGCTCATCCAAAACCCAGCAGCCAGAGGCTGCTCTCCTGCCTGGCAGTCATTTGCTCCCAGCAAAATGCAAGGGAAAAACAGGGCTTTTTACTGCAAGAAAAAGGGAGCCACTCCAGGGACCAGTGGGAAAGCTGACGGGTCTTGGCATAGCACTCAGGCTGAAAAGCTCCAGCTCCAGACCTTATTTTGCAGTGACCTGTAGCAAGAATTGGCTTTCCCGTTTTTCTTGCCAAATGGAAAGAAAAAGAAATCCTTCCAGGTCAGAGGAAAGAAAAGCATTTACTCGTGGGTCAAGTGAAACAATCTGATGCAGGGTTGAGTGCACTTTTATCCTCCCCAAACCAGGAAAGGATTCAATTTCCAGCTGAAAAAACCCCACATCTAAAAATAAACAGACAAATGTTTTTAGGGTCAGAAGCACTCAGTTTTGGTTTTCAAGTCCAAATGATTTGCTCAGTTGAACCCCATGTTCCAGAGCACGGGTTGACTCAAAAGTGCAGAGGGGTGGGGAGGGATGGGCTGATGCATGAATCTGGAAAATTTCAGTCTCGCTGAGATGGCACCAGTCACAGAGACCACCACAGGGCCAGCCTGGGACCTCTGTGTCCCCAGCATTCAGCCTGGGTACCCCAAACTTCTGCCCAGCCCTCCTGCAACCCAGAGCACCGTGAGGGAGGTGTTTGGCCACCTCTGCAGCACTGTGCTCATCCAAAGCGAGCTGTCACCTTCCATCCTCCTCCCCAGCCAAATACCTCCTGACAGCCCGCTTAGAACTCAAAGCGCCCGATTACCACCACGCCAGGCAGCTGCTTGCAGGTGCCAGGAGAACCTTTTCCTGGCATACCCCTCAAAACAAAATCCCTGCCCAGAGCATCACTCCTCACCCTTTCCAGACTCACCCACAACCCAGGATCCTTCCTGAGGTGGTCCAGGTCTGGCTCTGCTCTTACATACATGGCCCCAGCCACGGGGACACCACGTTTCCATCACCTCCTTTCCACCACCCCAGTGGGGAGCAGAGCCACCCGCCCCAGCTCCATCCACCTGCCAGGGCTGACCCCAGACCCCTGGCATCACCCGAGTCCATTAGTGAGTCCCCTGAGCACACACCTCGCCGGTGTGTTGCTTAACCCCGGCTTTTAGGGAGAGCTGCAAAGCCTTTCAATTTTTAATCTGCTCTAAACATTTTGGTCCTCGCCCCGAGGACTCCCAGTCGATAACCTCTGCTGGCAGCACGGCTGCCCCACAGCTACGGGGAAGGGGGAAACCAGGGGCAAAGGAGAGGGAAGCAGCTCCACCCCAAGCTCCTTTGGAGGAGCAGGACCCCTTTACACACACACCTTGGGATGAAGGGCACCCACACCGGGCACTCCAGTGAAAGGGACCCCAGTGTTCCATGGAGATGCTGCTCAGGGAGGATGGGGAAGGCACTCCTGACCCCTCCAGTAGGAAGATGACATCTGCAGAGCACCTTAATCCTTCCATCAGACACCTCTGTGGGGCTGGGTTCCCCCAAAATTGATAAGGTGGTTTACCCTGCTGCCTGGCACAGCCACCTCTCCCTCCCCACTGCCTAGCACTGGCACGGCAATGCCCAGGAGCAGGGACATGAATACAGCATCACTTTGCAGTCCCTGAGGCATCTTTCTCTTTTTCCACTGCCTTAGGCAACAAATGTACAAACAGGGGCCTGCTGGGTATGAGGAATGTGAGCCAAACTGCTCTGGGAAGGGAAACCTGCTCCCTTTCTGCACGCATGTTAAGCTCCCAGTGTCCACACATCCCCTTCCAGACCCCCCCAGCATCTCTTAATCTCCAATTCCTTGGGACAGCCCTCACCAAGCAGCAGTGGGACCCATCCCCAAAGTTCCCTGTTACACCCCCACCACACCCCAGGCAACGAGTGGGGACAGAGACAGCCCCAGCCAGGAATGGGGGCACTGCTCACTCACCAGTCTTCTTCAGCTCCTCATCTCCCTCGCCCTCCCAGACCCCCAGGGAGGAGGAGTTTTAGGCTGCAGGGAGCTGAGCAGCTGAGTGCTGGCCTCGACTGCCATCTAGCAGTGATCCAGCAGCAGCAAGGACAGGGTGACAGCCCCTCTGGGTTCCAGCCCCTGCTGCAGCCCAAGGAGGGGCAGAGGAGGGTGTGGGGGTCTCCTCGGGACACCCCACCCTTGCCCCAGTTCTCACCTCCCTGAAACCAAACAGGGGTCCTGCAGCAGAGGGGGTGACCCCCGAGCAACATCAACTCCATTACAGGGGATGGATGACAAACATGTGCAATGAGCCCCCAGGCCCAAACACGGCACCAGAGAAGTCAGGCCACCCCTGCACTGGGTTGGACAGCCCCTGCTCTTCACCATTCTGCTTTCACCTCCTTCATTAGCTTTCCCAGTAGTTGCTCTCTAACAAGTCCTACATTTCCTTTTTTTAGCACTTTCACATCCCAAACCAAACCCAAAATGCTGAAATTAAAACAACAGAATCATAGAATGGTTTGGGTTGGAAGAGAGCTTTAAAGATCACCTAGTCCAATCAGGCCCTTGTAGGCCCTGAAGCCCTGAGGGACAGTCTAGGGACCTGTAAACCAGCTGAATGCCAGCATTCCTAACCAGGGCCCTTCTGTTTTCACTGCTTTTCTCTGCATTAACAACCTCACACTCATCAGGATTACTTGCCACAGGCACACAGCTATATAAACATGGACAATGTCACGCTTCAAGCTTTCTCTTGCTAGATTCTTTAGAGATTTTATTTTATATGTGAGATGAAATTCCTGATGCTTTGTATACATGGCATTCAACAAATCACAGCACTTTCTTCTTGGGGAAGGTTTCTTCAGCCCTCCTCAGAGCAAGGAGTGTGTAGAGCACCCACTGTCTTAAAAACCAATGTCAAAACTGCTCATGCACTGAGGGAGGGAGGGATAGGCAGCCAGTTTCCCTCTCCTAAACTTAAAGGATATAGAACACAATGTTATACTTAGATGTTCTCCTGAACCACTATATTAAAGAGCAGTAACTCAGTAGACCACCAGTACAACAAAAATAAAGTATCTCCCTGAAATTAAAAATACAAACCCAAACTATTTTCCTGAAAGTAAAATTAACACTTATTGCACTTTTAGCACTTTCACATCCCAAACCAAACCCAAAATGCTGAAATTAAAAACCCAGAATTATAGAACGGTTAGGGTTGGAAGAGAGCTTTAAAGATCACCTAGTCCACCTGAGACGTCAGACCCAAAAAGTTTTTCAAGGGATTAAATGTTTGTGAACAAAAAAAAAAAAAAACAACAAAAAAACAACCCAACAGCATGGTCATAGAGAGAGCCTGTGCTGCTCCCAGCAGCCTTCCTCGGCAGCAGCTCCAGCTTCTCCCCTCTTCTCACACCTGCCTTCCTAGGCTTGGGAGCCACTGGATGTAGGCATGGGAAGTGGTCAATCAAGCAGCTGCCAACACTGCAGAGAGCGTGGCAGGAGGGACATGGAGTCTGTGAGGTTGGCTCCACAGAGGCCAACTCCTGGGAAGGTCTTCATTCTTCATGTTCTCTTCACCTGCAACAGGAAGGACACAGAAAAGAAAGATCAAATCTACACTGGCAAATCCAAGAGCTCCAGTTTAGACTGAAATCCCCTTTGCTGGATGTTACCAGATCACGGCAAGAGGACTTGCTACTGCACACCTATTTGATGAGCTGGACATGGTATAACCCAAGGACCTCTCTCCCTGTCCCCCAGCTGCTCCACCTCCATTTCTCCAGAGGTGGGAAATCGGTAGCTTGTGTCTAGGGAACTCCAAAGAGAAGGTAGACAGCTCTGTTCCAAGGCACAAAAATTCATTGCCTTCACCAAGGCACTTAATCCACCTTGTAAATTGAGCAACTCTCATATAGGGGTGTTATAAATTCTTTCATCATTTGGAAGATGGAAGACAAACACTCACACAGGCACCTCACAGGATTTACAAAATGCTTTAGTCCCTTACGGCTGAGAGACTGGGAGACTCAGTATGAAATGAACACAGTATGGAGTGGAAAAACAAAGACTTCTGCATGAAAGCAGCAGAAAGTCTAGAAAAGACAACAAAAACCAGCAATGAAAGAACTAACCCTCAATTCATTTCTTCGCATTAAACAATTAGAAATCCATTTTGCTGCACAAAGGCCAAACCAATGCACTGCATCCAGCCATTTATTACTGTGGCACCTCCAGCCACAGAAACACCAAGAAGTCCATCTGTTCCAGCAGCACCAGCCCTAGGATACCCAACAGGGACTGCAAAACTCATGGCATGGTAACAGACTGCTCAGCTTCCTGCTGTGTGAACTCTGACTGACAAATCTACTCGTACTGTTAGGGGTGTCCAGCATGAATGGCATTGCCATGAGCAGAACAGCAGGATGTGCAGCTTCAGAAAGTTGGGCCTTGCTTCAAAAAGCTTTCTATCTGATCAGGGTCATCTTGCCTCATTTCTGCTGGTTGCTTGGAGTAAATAAAGGAGGTATAAAGATCTTCCACTGACTTGACTAAGACAGCAGGCACAGAGGACTCTCCAAGAGAATGAGGTGTCTGCAAATGTACATTAAAAAAAAAAATAATCAAGAGAGGGTGCAATTAGTGCACAATCAGTTCATTAGCTGCCCTGATCTTTATCATCTCTAAAAATTTACAAAGAACTGGAATGTCAGCAACTGGATGATTAAAAAACCACACCAACAAAACTACACAACAACAAACCCCTAGTTCCCCTTGGCCAAAGGGCAGCTTTTCCTGCACAGCAAGCTGAAAAGAGGGATAGATTACAAGATACAAAGCATCATGTCTTAGGAAAGAAATCAACAGCTGGCTCATCTCTCAGCAGCCCCATGCAGAACCAGTGGTGGCAATGACAGAGGGAGTTTCTGCAAGGAAGCAGGAACTGAGTCAGAGGAAGCCCCTCTGCATTTTTGGTTAAGAATTCAAATTAAACTTACATTTCAGAGATGGTCACCCACCTCTCAGCCACATGGAGCTGATTTCATGGAACAATAGCTGTGCCACAGCCAACTCTCACCTGGTCACACAGCTCAGCCCCATCCAGCTTTGAGGATGTTGTTTCACTATCTGCAACCAGAGATTCCTGCTGCAAGCAAAGGTCTGGCTCCACCAGTTCAGCATTCTCCTGCTCTCCACTGGGCTGAACATACAAGGCCAAAGGATTCAGTTCCTTGAATTCCTAGGAACAAATAAACAACACACCAGGACAGGAGAAAAGCCCATGTTGTAACCACCACAAAGAATAAAAAGGATTCGATTCAGCAAACCTCTAGTAGGTTTTATGGAGAAGCACAACACCCACAAGTGAGCTCAAAATTCTTGCAGAAATGGCCTTCCTAGGAAAATCAACTCCCCTCCTGCCAGCAGCAAAATTTCTCAGCAATGCCCCTCTCCCCTTCAAAAGTGGACCTACACGTGGAAAAAAAATATGATGACAGGATCTAATCCTGCCAAAACATGCATTCTGCATCTACTGAAGGAAGCAACAGATAGAAGCACTCCAGGCTGCAAAGCCCAGTTTTCTGCTGAGATATAAAATCATGGCAGTACCTTTCCAAGGGTTTTCATCATCCACAGAGTTCTTACTGAAACTGAGCTGACACAGGCAGATAGTGACACAGAGGAGCCTAAAGCACAAATGCCCTCTGCACTGGCTTACAACTGGAATGTCTGTCTGAGGCACAGCGGGCAATCGACCACGGTTACACTGTCCAACACGGTACCTTTCACTGGCAAAGTAAGAGTTTTTAAAGCAAGACAATTTCCATAGCTCAGTTTGCTAATGGCATAACCAACCTTCAGTGCTCAGAGCACGGAAGGCCAAAATAATCTAAGTATCACAGAATTATCAGGGTTGGAAAGGACCTCTGGAGATCATCCATTCCAACCCCCCCTGCCAAAGCAGCGTCACCTGGAACAGGCGACAGGAATGCATCCATGCGTTTGGAATGTCTCCAGAGAGGGAGATTTCACCACCTCCCTGGGCAGCCTGTTCCAGTGCTCTGCCACCCCTCAACATGAAGTTCTTCCTTATGCTGAGGTAGAACTTCTTGTGTTTTAGTTTATGGCCATTACTCCTCGTCCTGCTGCCGGGCACCACTGAAGAGTCTGGCACCATCTTCTTGGAACCTGCCCAGAACTGGACACAGCACTGCAGATGTGGCCTCGCTAGGGCTGAGTAGAGGGGCAGGACCACCTCCCTTGACCTGCTGGCCACATTCTTCCCAATTCACCCCAGGATCCCATTGACCCTCCTGGCCCCAGGGCACACTGCTGGCTCACGGACAGCTTGTTATCCACCAACACTCCCTGGTCCTTCTCCACAGCGCTGCTCTCCAGGTCAGCCCCCAACCTGGTATTGGGGTTATTCCCCCCCCAGGTGCAGGACCCTACAACTGCCCTTATTGAACCTCATTAGGATTCTCTCTGCCCAGTTCTCCAGCCTGTCAAGGTCCCCCTGAATGGGAGCACAGCCTTCAGGTGTATCACCCACTCCTCCACTTTTGTATCATCAGCAAACTTGCTGAAGGTACATTCTATCCCTTCTTCCAGGTCATTGATAAAGATAAGACTGGACCCACTGTTGATCCCTGGGGAATGCCACTGACTCCAGGCCTCCAACTGGATTCTACTCTGCTGATCATGACCCTCAGAGCTCTGCCATTCAGCCAGTTGTTGATCCACCTCACTGCCCATTCACCTAACACACATTTCCTGAGCTTACCTGCGAGGGTGTTACGGGAGACAGAGTCCAAAGTCGAGGTGGACCCCACCCACTGCTCTCCCCTCATCAACCCACTCTGCCATGTTGTCAAGGCTATCAGACTGGTCCAGCAGGGTTTCCCCTTGGTAAATCCATGCTGACCACTCCTGGTGACCTTTTCTTCTACATGCTGGTGATGACCTCCAGAATGCCCTGTTCCATCACCTCTCCAGGGATGGAGGTGAGGCTGACCAGCCAGGAGTTTCCTGGGTCCTCCTTCTTGCCCCTTTTGAAGATGGGAGTGTTCCTCACTCAACTGCTCACGATGCAGCACTACTTTAAGTCATACAATATAATCTAATGAACTTGAGCTCTCATTAATTGGTTGGATGAATCAATTAACACATCTCTTAATAACCTCTCAATTCCATCTCAGTTTGGCCTTATGCTCAGAACACCTGCAGTGATTTTACTTTTCCCTGTTATCTCTACAAGATGTGTGTCAGCTGAATCTGCAACACTACCAAGCTAATCAACTTCTAATCCACTGCCAGAAGGCAGTGGCAACAATTTGTTCAGCTAAACCAGAACATCTCTGCTGTATCATCAGATTCCACCTTAACCAAAAAGCAAGCTCTCACCATAGAGTTACACACTGTGGGTTGCAGCCACAAATGGTAAGCTACAGGAAAGCAGGGAATACCAGTTTTGCTCTTCACAAAACTACTTGCTTCAAGGTAAAGATCTTTCCATTACAGGGGTCCTTTCAGCAGCACATGCCTCCCTCCTGACCTGGGAAGGAATGTTCTCTCCACAGACATCAGCATATCCCATATCCCTCAAGACAGAGTGGAAGTAGACATCCTCCTTGGTGGATGTGTCACAGAGGAAGAGGTGCAGAACGCCATCCACATATTCATCCACAACGCCCACGAGCTCCTTGAAGCCACAGAGATTCTTGAACAGGAGAGTTGCTGCAGGAGACCACGTACCCTGAAGGAGAAAACAAGGACATGAAGTTACTATAAACAGGCCAATGTCCACCACCTGAGACTCTTCCTGGTGGAGGACACTTGCCAAAAGGCAACTGAGCCAGGCCAGGCCAGTGACAAATACAGGAAAGTCAGGCAGACCAGCTTCCCAGCACAGAACTAAACCAAACCACTCCCACAGCCTGCAATGCTGGGTACACTGGGATTGCCCTTTTACCTTAAATACCCACTTCCAAACACAGTCCAATGGCATTCACCAGTGATTTTATCAAAACTGCCTAAAATACAGTTGTTTGGTGTTTATTTTGTTCAATTCCTGGAATCATGAGATTTTACAGATGTCAGAAGTATCAGAAGTTATTAAGAAGCTGCTAAGCCTCGCCGCAATGAAAATCGTGATTAACTCTCAGAACCCAGAGGAAACAACTTTTTAAAAGTAGCATCTTTAAAACACACAGAGGCAGCAACTCTGCTCACATGCTTTCCTTCAGAGGTTGTACTTCTGCTTCTTGACCAAAAGGTTTCCCACCACAGAGCAACTTCATGACCTCTGTAACTCTTTGGCTGTGCTGACTGCACTTAAAGCTCTGTCACAGAAGAGTTTTTTAAAACAGAGGGCTGGATCTACCAAGGCTTCAGAAGGACCCCGGGGAACTACTGGCAGGGTAAGAAACAGGTCTGCTCAGTAGTTTAACAGTTTCTGCAATAATATAAGCAAGAATGCTCTGATTGTAAGGAAAGCATTGGAAGGGTGATTGCTTGCTGAGCAGAGAATTACCCAGTCACACTCTGCTGAACACAACAGTACCAATTCTGCTGCAAATATCAGCAGGACCTGAATTCATCCAAATGCTTGCTCTTCACAGGAGAAAAAGACAACTTCTATTTGGTAACTTTTGTACATATGTCAATAAACAAAACTGCATGTGAACATGTACCTCCACAGGTTTTACCCATGCCAAGGAACACGGGATGGCCTGAGCAGGGAGCTTCAAGTACTGCCACCTACAATACAAAGCAAAGCCATTACTGCAAAAATAGGGAAAAATCAGCAGCAGAGCAGAACTCTCTCCTTTTCTGGGTTTTAATATCAGCTTAGGAATAGAGAGGCATACACTGGATTGTGTGCTTATGACTAAAACCTAACAGCAGCTTTGGAAAACACTCCATATCCAGAGAATGGGCAGAGCAGAAACAGCAGTAACAGCTGCTACCTTACTCATTCCCTGGCCCAAGCACATTCCCATCAGAACTCCTTGTGGAGACAAAGCTAGGGACGGAGAGCCATGACTTTTGAACCAAAGAATGCCAACAGCCAGGCCTGAAGAAAGGCAAATGAGGGGGAAGATGCAAATATGGAAAATGTGCTGAACTGCAGAGAACAAGTACCTCTGGCACCGCAAACGTGTCCCACTTGGACTGATGTCCCTTCAGGAGAATGTTTATATCCATTCATGGAACACAGGAAGGGGGATTAGGGAGCTTGCCCCAAGGTGACAGAAAGCAGCAAGAGGACAGACTGAGGAGTGAAGGCAGAAACAGGAAAGGATTTAGCAGTGTACCCCAGGGGTCAATGCTGGGTCCAGCATTGCTCAGCATCTTCATTATTGACCTGGGCAAGTCTACCCTCAGTCTGCTGATGATACAAAACTGGCAGGAGTGGCTGATACCCCAGAGGGTCAGGCTGCCATCCAGATGGATCTCGACAGGATAGAAATGGGCAGACAGGAACCTCATAAAGTTCAACAAAGTCCCGCACTTGGAGAGGAACACCACCACACACCAGCACACACCTGGGGCTAGCTGTCTGGAAAGTGGCATTTTTACCATGAGAGTAAGCAAGCACTGGAACAGGTTGCCCAAAGAGGTCATGAAGTCTCCAACCTTGGAAACATTCAGAAACCATCCTGACAAGGCCTGGGCAGTCTATTCCAGAGGGCCCCACTTGAGCAGGGAGCTCGGACAGGATGCCCTCCGGAAGTCTTATCCAACCTCAGCTGTTCTGCCGCCCACGTGCAATGTACTTACTTGAGGAATCTCAGCCAAGACTTTTGGACAATTTGGAGGTGTCCATAATCTGCATAGAACACCTCCACTTCTTGGTCACTGATCACACGATGGATGATAACACGGTACCACCATTTGGAGACCATTACACAGCAGAGCTGTCCAGGCCGTACTGCAGAGTCAGGCATGATGTATTTATCAGAGACAAGTTTATATGAGTAAAGGTGCCTGTAAAAGATCATAGGGAGAAACTCTGCTTAGTAGGATGCAGGACATGAACAAAAGAAGCACATGGGGCATCAAAAGAATCCTGATTTTTCAAAGTCCGCATGACATGAATTTTCAGGAGTTGTTTCAATAGATCCTTTATAGCTCTGTTCTCCCACACTTGAACTGCAATTCAACCCCAAACTTTTAACATTTGAATGATATGCTTGGGGTCCGACAAAAAGTTAATTAATGGGGATTAATCAGAGGCTAAATACAGTCATTCTAATCATTAATTTTGTAACATTACCTTTACATGTCTTTGTTTCTTATGAACCAAGTTCCGCTCAAAGTGTTAGAAACGGAAATAAAAGCTTTAACTGAGCACATTAGCAACAGTAGCACAAGGTAAAGGAACCCTTTAAGATCCTCTCCATAATCTTTCCAGGCTTTTAAAGTCCAGAACAGCCTATTTTGCTATTGAACACACTCACTGCTTGTTAGTTAAGAGGAATGGATAAGCACGATGAGTAGGGGTTTCAGTACAGCACCTGCATCCAATTACCAAGTAATGAAGCCAGCACTGACCATCACCAACAGCTGGTGCCCTCTTCCCTTGACACAAACACACATACCAGAGGTAGCAGCACTGCATTGGCACAACATGCTCCCACCTCATCTCAAACATCAGATCCTGCAGTTTGTGGGATGTTTCCCTGCCACAGATGTGGATGTAGAACTGGGTAGGAGAGACAACGAATTCCACGATGACTCCCACCAAGGACCTTCTCTTCAGAGGTGGTAAACTGCAAAGGCTTCTGTCCTGAACAGCATCTGGGAGTTCTTCAGTCAGTGTCAGCTTGTTTGGTATCAGCTGCTGACAATCTTGAGGCTACAAAGGGATAAGAGGAAGGTGGCACTCAGATGTCTCATCATACATCAATCACACACAACTGGCCTTTCCAGTAAGTTAAAAAAGATAGTTCTGTTTTCCCAGGGACCTGTGAATTACTGAATATCAGAAAATCCCAACAAATTGCACAAACTTAGATCCAAACTTTCCCTGTGATAGAAGCATTCATTTTCACACTCTCTCTCTCTTCCTTCCCTCCAGTGTAAAGAGGGGTACAACAAAAATACCTTGCTCATATTCCTACAAGGAATAAAGGAGGTGAATTGAAGTCACGTCACATATTTAGATAAAAGTAGTAAATGGTTGTTTCTAAAAAAGCAAAGCACAACAAAACAAAAATCCCCACAAACAAACCAAAACCCAAACCAAATTAAACTCATCTCTTTGCTAGATTTTACTGAAAAGATGTTATTTCTATGTTTTGTGACCACAAAAAAGTACATGACTGAATGAGGAAAACTATCTGAAAATGACTCAGAAGTGACAGAAGGCATAAATGCATCCCACTTTGACACTAGAGCTACTTCCCAAGGACAAAACCAAACAAAATATACAAGCTTTGTTCTTCTTACTCCAGACAGATTTGTATGAGTGACCTGTTAGCACAGCTGTCAATTTTGTGTTATTCTTACTGCTGAAAACATTATTTCCTTCGAACTAGTGTAGATGGAAACAGTGCATCAACAATGCAAACTCAACAAAGACAGTAAAAAGAGTTATCACCCACTTGAATAAGACACGAAAAATCTACAGATCACTTGTCCATCACTTACTTGTTTGAGGTGATCACCCAAATCTACTGCTTCTGTTTCCACTGGCTCCCTCTTCTGATGAAGTGCTGCCTGGTGGAAGTTATCTGTCTCACAGATGGGTTCCAAAGGAGGCATCTCAGCTGCAAAGATGACATTTTGGCTGTTATTCTTACTGATTGGACTGATGCAGTGTAGCATATTAAGCAGAAAGAGAAAACATCTGAAAACACTGGTGGTGTTTTCCTCCTTTCTTGTAGCGTTCACAGCCACCACATTCATGAGGATTCACTGTATTAATAAGCTGAAACAAACCAAAACAATTGCTTGCTCTTAAAAGCATGCCAAGTGCTAAAATCCATTGCTAGAATGATGCCAGAATTAATTTTCCCCCCAAAAGTCATGAATTTGTCAGTAACTCTATGTGATTTTTCCACCCTCTACTGTAGGATTTATGAGAACACTTAAGGTATCTGCAGTCTTGCCTCTCTTGTGGAACATTGCAGCTGTGCCTTTCAGGCTACTTTGTCTCAAAAAGAATATCAGAAAGGCTTCAGCATCCCACAGAGCAGACATTCAGAAGATCCTTCTAGTTTTGTTACCTACTGCATGGAATGACTAGAAATTCCAGTCCTACACATACACACACTCAGAAGGTTCATTCTCTGAAAGGGCTAAACATCTCTTCCTTTACCTCACATCAAAAAAACAGTGGCAACGTGCTGAAAAATTCCAGTTAAACTCTCAGCTACCAAGACAACTGCCTTGTGACAGCTGCTTCTGCAGCACAGAACAGCCCTTCTGTACTAAAACCTGGGGGAACCTGGACTACTACAGCAACTGGAAATACAGCGAGAGCCACCTGAAACGTAGTTGCTTGGCTACAGAGCTTGTAAGAGCTACTACATGCTTTTAGCCAAACACACCCCCTCACCTCGCAGCATCTCTTCGTCCTGTGCCTCACCTTGAGGCACCTCTTCCTTCTCTGCCTCCTTTGCCAGGTACTCTCTCAGGACCAGCAAAGAACCTGCCTCTGTCTGCTCAACCACAATGAAATCAGACACACTCCTGAGGGCTTCAAGCACAGAAGAAAATCCGTACTGCCTGTACGGGAACGCCCGGCCAAAGCATTTGAGGAAGGCCTTGTCCAAGTCCTGGAGCAGAAGAGGTGAGGAACTCAGCAAGTCCTGCAGCTCAGCCTTCACTGTCGCTGGCAGGATGGGAGTCCTGGCTCTCAGAGGGGAACGCTGTGGATTCTTAGAGTTCTTAGAAGGAGAAGCAGCATTTGCCTTCAGATGAGTTCTCTTCCATGCCTTAGTACATGTCCTTCCCTTCTGGCAGGCAACCAGCTTGGCAATTCCTTTGGTGGTGTCATCTGCAATGGCTACAACACAATCAAATAAACACACAAACAAAAACAATGAACTACTAAAAGCTCTGCACTGGCAAAGCTCCTCTTCATTCCTTTCTTTCCTCTCTCCCCCCTCTTTTCAGAAGCAGGTGTTTTCTTCAAAAGCAATCAAACTAAATCATGGCCGATTTCCAGCAGCAAACTGACCAAAACCCTTTTTAGAAGCCAACAACCAGTCTGAACCCTCATCCCTATAAGCTCACACCAGGTAGGAAGGCAGGCCAAATTCTTGGATGCAGGGTCACAAACAAAACCTGCTGAGAGTTTTGCTGGGAAAGCAGAATCACAGTAAACTCCCACTACAGAGCACTCCCCTGCCCAGGCAAAGTCTCCCTGGAGAGCAGCCCAGGTCTCTTCCATGCTTCTAAACGATTTTTTCTGGTCTTAACTGTAGCATGCAAAAAGTCCCCAACCATTTCACCCTTCCCAATCAATTCTTTGCACCTACCTTTGTTTTACACAACTCCTCTCCAAAGAAAATGAAAAAGGTTCTTTGATACAGACTAAACTTCCCATGGAATCAGGTAGGGAAACATTTGTAGCTTCTTTTGAGAGGCCCCATCCCTGGTTTTGGCTCTGCTCTACTCTGCATTTACAGGAAAAGTGATGCTTACCAGCTCTAGTGTACCCATAGGAAATGTTACCTTGGTTTCTAAACTAAGTGTAGAATGTAAAAATGTACAAAAATAACTAGAAGCCTGGGTGATTTTCTCAGAAGGAGAGAAAGTGTTAAAAGGCAGATCAAAACCGGGGAAGAAATATCAAAGACAAGAAGTTAACCAGAGATGAATGAGAAACAGGCATGTGACACAGGGCATCACTTCACACCAGTATGAGGTTCCAAACAACTCTTCCACCCAACAAAACCTCACCTTTGAGGATAAGGCTGCCGTTCTTACAAAAAGAGACTCGGACAACTTCAGGCATATGTTTCACCAGCTCCAAGGTGGACTGGAAGCCCAGGTCTTGGAGGGGCAGAGGTTTGCAGACCATGGCCATGTACTGCTCCTCCAGCTCTGCCGGCGTTAGGCCCTCCTTGGCAGCTATCAGCATCGCTCTCACCTCCTTCTTCAGCAGCTCCATGAGCTGCGCCTGCTTCGCCGTGTCTGGGCTAAGGGGGAAACGCAAGCCAGCAGATGACAACCTGCACCACCACAGCTGCTCAAAACCTGGCGGAATTCCGACTCGCTCCCATCGAGAGCTGGACAGGGGAGCGGGCAGCAGGTTCACCAGCCCACTACCTATCAATCCCTGTATTCACTCACCAGCGCCCCTGGAGTTTAGTGCACCCCTAAACTCCTGCCCTCCGCAATCCCTGCCGCTCCAGAAACCCTGCGCCCTCAAACTGCTGCCCGAGAAACCCCCCACCGACCCGAGGGGCTCGGTGCTCTTCACAGTGCTCCCCTGTGCCCCTCAGCCTGGGGGTCGTTGTCCCCCACAGTCACCCCTGAGCCCCATCCCGGCACACCCGCCGCCCTCCCGCGGGTCCCACACTCACGACGCCATCGCTCCCTCCTCTCGGTGCGCATGCGCCCCGCCCTTCCCGCCTTTACGGGGCGCGAGGGCGGGGCGGGGGGGCCCCCCCCACCCCCCACGGCCGCCATTGCGGAGCGGCTGAGGGGGAGCGGCTGAGGGGGAGTGGCTGCCGCTCCCTCGGCCCTGAGGCGGGAGGGGATTCCACCTGCGCGGAGGCGCTGCCCCCGCCTCCTGGAAAAAAAAAAAAAAAAAAAAAAAAAGTAAAAAACCCACGTGAAGTGTCGCAGAACTGCAGGATTGATTGGGTTGGAAAAGACATCACAAGATCATCGGGTCCAACCTGTGGCCAAACACCACCTTGTCAATCAGACGATGGCACTGAGTGTCACACCCAGTCTTTGCTTAAACACCTCCAGGGATGGCGACTCCACCACCTCCCGTGGGCAGCCTGTTCCAATGTTTAGTCACCCTTTCTGTGAAGAAATTCTTCCTAATGCCCAACCTAAACCTCCCCTGGCCCAGCCTAGGACTGTGTCTGCTTGTCCTATCCCTAGTTCCCTGGGGGAAAGCATTAACCCCTACCTGGCTACGACCTCTTTTCAGGTGGTTGTAGAGAATGAGAAGGTCCCCCTGACCCTCCTTTTCCCCAGGCTGAGCCCCCCCAGCTCCCTCAGCCACTTCTCATCAGACTTGTGTTCCAGACCCTTCTGCAGCTCCATTGCCTTTCTCTGGACTTGTTCCAGCACCTCAGTGTCCCACTGTTATTAAGACGAGTCTTGTATTTTGTAAGAAGAGTTTTGTATTGAAAAGAGTCTTGTATTTTTTGTCTCATCTGAGTGGAAAATCCACAGTGGAGACACTGACATTCCCAAGGCCACAGAGCATGGTAAAATGTGGTGCAATGGCTGTTTCCTAAGGGCTCACAGACTTCCCTCTCAACAGCACAGCTGATTTCCACACAGGAATACGTTTCAGAATAAAACAGGAGCGGAGGTTGCAGATTTTGGGACAGCAAAGGTTGCAAACCCATCAGCATGTGCTCCCAGAGCATGTCCCCTGTTTCAAGGGAGCAGCCAAAAACATCCTTCAGGGATAGTGGAGTTGGGACCCACTGGTTGAATAAAAACATCAACCAAAACCAGCAAGTTGCAGGTTTGGAGGTGTTAAATATGCCACGGTGCTTTTGACGAGATACCAAGAGGAATCCAAAACGAGACCTGAGCTGCTGTTTGCTGCTGCTGCTTAAAACACCACCTGCCCTTTCAGCAGCTGGAGACCATCTCTCCCCCATCCCGTGTTGGCCAAGTGATAAACACCAAGTGCAAAAGGTTTCTGGAGCACTTCCAAAGTATATACACTGTATAAATTTATTAATTACACCCCGTTTACACCCAACTTTTCTCCTGCCTTTAGCCCTCTCCATGCATCACTTCCCTGGTGACTTGCTGACAAGGCACCCAGCATGTCAGAGCAGAGAAAGCAGGCAGCTGGTGCTCCTGCCCTCCCTGCTTGCAATATCCTGACTCCGTGTGGGCCCACAGGTCTCCAATAAAACAGGAATCTGTGAAAAAACAAGAGCAGCACATCCCCAGCCAGCTTCCCAGCTCCCTCCAGCTACTCCTCCACACTACAGACTGGGAATCCCCAAGCTCAGCACTGCCCTGCCTTATGTCCCAGCTGTGTCTTGCCTGTAGTATGATTTCTAGCTAGGTGCTGGTTTCTTTAATACAGTCAGTGACTTTAAAACATGTCAAAAGTGTTTTAAACACTTCAAAAGTGTTTTAAACCTTCCTCCAGGGGTTTCTGCAGATGTCACCACAGGCTGAGCAGCATGAAAAGAGAAGGCTCCTACGTTTGCTCTGCCACGCTCCTTCTGTGGAAAACTAGGAAGGCATTTAGGCACAAACCCTTTTGGCAATTTAGATTCACCAGCTCTATCCCAGGAATGGCCACCATGCTTTGCATCCTTTCAGGAAAGTTCATGGCTGAACTGGACCAGTTAATTTCCCACCCTGCAAAAATGTGAGGTGATCCTGGAGAGAAGGGGTTTGCTGCCAGTGTCCCTCCAAAGGGCTTCTGGAGAGCAGCGCAGTGTGAGATGCTATTCACCCAGACATTTGCTGCAACACCCACTCCAAACACTCCTGAGTAAGCCACTGGTCTCACCAGCAAAGATTTTTCACCCTGGTGTTAATTCTGGGCCACTCCCACCATTTGAGGTCTTTGGGGCCACACACCTGACAGTTACTTTCAGATTGCTTTTCAACAACTTTGCAGAAATCATCTACTAAAATCATCTGAGTGCTTCTGATTGTATTTTATTCCCCAAAGCAGGACGCAAACAGAACTTCCTTCTAGGGTCCACCATGTTCAGATTTAACCTTCCTTCCCATCTCCTCAGCAGGGTGTGATGAGAGCCGAGCAGCTGGAAACACCTTGCTCACTTCACTGTCCATTACAGCTGACAAGCCCCGAAGAACTTGAAACGAGCCTCCTTGATGTGACACCTCCCCTTCTCTCCTCCCCTGCCTGCGGCAATAAATTCAAGCACGTACTCTTTCCGCTCCCACAGGCAGCTGTGGGTCCCTTGGCACAGATGAGGATGGATAAGAGGGCTCGGAGCTCTTCCAGGGAGTCTCATAGAAGACGTAGAGAGTCCCCGGGTACGCAGAGCAAACGAGAGAAGAGGGAGAGCAGCAGAGAAGGCAGCAAAGGAAGGGGAGACATAAAGCAGGCGAAAGCAAAAGAGACCAAGAGCACTGTGGGGACTGATGGCAGGGTGCACACCTCCACGGTGGTGGATGTGGATGAGGTGGTGTCTGAGGAAGAGATGGAGGCAATGGCATTGCTGGACAGCGAGCAACAAGAGGAAGGTATGGCTTATAAGAAGGGAAGGGCTTGGGAAAGTGTGGGCTCATTGATGCTGTGTGGGTCACAGTATGACTCAGCTCTCTGCACGGTGTCATCACAGACGTGGTTATCCTCAGGACAAAATACGGGAGACTCCAGCCAGCCTCCCAGCTCTGTTCTCTTCCTTTTCTCTTTCCCTTCTTCAAGTGGACAGCATTAGCCTTAATGCCAGTTCACAGCCCGAAAGACCTCACTGCAGGGAGGAACTACCCTTAAGGTCCACACTCACAGCTCCCCTTCTGGATAACCTTTAAGAGCAGCTCCTCTCCACATGTTTGTTAGGCAGATTCCCAGCCCGCCATGATAGAAGGGAGCATCACGAATCTTTTGGCAAGGTGTCTGGGCCTCTTTGGACCCAGCATCACCAGGGCATGGCAGACGTGTATTACAGGAGCCAGCATCACTTGTGCACTCCCCTGCCAGCAACTCTGCTGCCCTAGAGTGACACAAAGGTTCAGATGTGCTCTCTGACAACTAGTTTTGCACAAACATATCTTTCTGCCTTAGTTACAGGAATCACAGCTAGTGAGTGGTGCTGTGGAGCTCTAGTGATCATGCAGGTTCTTGGGATCTGAACCTCTCTCAGGACCTGGTGGTTCTGCAGAGACTTCCAAAGGCAGAGGGGCAGGGATGGAAGGGCTAGAAGGGATTCAAAGTGGGAGGGATGCCAACTTCACTGCTGGAAATCGTGGTCCACTCTCTGGCTTTTAGTATATCCAGGAGTAATATGTTGATTTTCATGCCATACCTGCTGAATTTTACTTCAGACAGGAGCACAACAAAGGGCCGCCAAAGCAAGATGATCCACACTCCCTTTGGGGAGATGTAGCAGGTAGTATTCATCTGGGGCTGATCACCCCATTCAGCCCCCAGCACCTTGGTGTGACTGCTGCAGAGCACAGGGAGAGTTCAGTGGCACCAGTGCCTTTATCCCACTGCATTAGGGAGAGGAGATGCAACTAAAATCCAATTCCAAAGCAACATGAAATGCCCTGATAGGGAAAGGCACTTCAGGCTGTGCATGTTGAAAGCTCTCTTATTTACAGTCTTTACTTTTAGCTCATCTTTCCAGATTAGTTTCAGGAATCCCAGCTCAGCCAAGGTGCCCATTCCAAGCCTTTCAACACTGCTTGGTAGCCCCAATTCTTCAAGAGAAAGGCTGCCCTCTAGTCAAGCAACTATGGAGAAGCATGGCTCAGTTTTTGTCGGTAAAGTGGAGACAAAATCTGCCCCTCCATCCTCACAACTCCTGGCCACCTGGACCAGACAGTGTTCCTTAACTCACCTCCAGAGAGTGACACGTGATTCACATCCACCAAGTCCAGGCAAAGGGCAACCCTGAAGCTTGTGTGTGCAGGCACTTGTCAGGCTATCAGTATTTTGGGAGCAGTCCTCTCCTAACACAGTCATGTTGGATTTCTCCCTAGGTGTAAAGTCTCCAGGTCTGGGCATCTGTGAGTGGCTTCTGACCATCCTGTCTTTCCTGTTCATCATAATGACCTTCCCCATTTCTGTCTGGTTCTGCATGAAGGTAAGAATGGCCATGGGGCCTCTCTCAGTATCTGGTGTCTGATGTGGATGTCACACACTGATTCAGCATGTGTTGGACATGAGCATAAAGCTTTTTTGGTCTAAGGCCCTATTTACACCTCTTCAACTCATTATTAATTTTGATTTATCTTTTATCGCATGTTGCTACAGCACAGGGCTGCACAGGGGTCCAAACACTGCCTATCAGGTAATCCTGCTGCAATATCAGCAGACAGGGGCTTTAGTTTCTCTTTTTTAAAACAAATTGTAAGTCTATTCACTTTCAAATATAATCCTCAGCCTTCTCAGGCCAGAGAGGGCTGCACTGCAACCAACAGCTGGGTAAATGGGTTTTGAATTAAAAATGTTAAGAGAGATTGATCTCAGAGGTAATAGCAGAATTTCCCTCTTCCTCTAATTTTTGTCAGATTTATATATATAATATATATAAATATATATATACATAATATTATATATAAATATATAAATATATAAATATATAAATATAGGGGACTCAGTGACAAGTGATACCACTAGTTCATACCTGCTGAAATCCTCCCTTTGCAGGGCTTTTCCAGAACAGACTTCCTCCCATGCCTCTGAAGCTGCTTTTCCCAGTCCTGCTTGTTCCTCTCCAGCCTCCCTTTTGTTTCCCTCTGCAGGTAGTGCGGGAGTATGAGAGAGCCATTGTTTTCAGACTTGGGCATCTCCTTCCTGGCAGAGCCAAAGGACCCGGTAAGGTGTTTACTCAGCTCCTCTCAGGCGTGTTGCTCCTCTTTTTCATGCTCTACCAAAGCTCACATGCTGGTGCCCTCCAAGCAGACATGGCCAGACAGGAGATGGGATGTTTTTGTTCCCTTCCTCTTAAGGGCTTTTCCCCATCAGAGAAGCAGCCTCAGAATTTGAGCCCATATATTGCTGTTCCTTTGTAGTTCTGCATGCCAAACCCTCCTGTTTTCCAGAGCATGAGAGGCAATTTCTGTGGTTCTGATGGTCATCAGCTGCCTTTCTCTTCCTCCCACAGGCCTTTTCTTTTTTCTTCCCTGTCTGGACACGTACCACAAGATAGACCTCCGCCTCAAAACCCTAGAGATCCCCTTCCATCAGGTATGGCTGACACCCCCCCTCTATATTAATTTTGGTATCTCTTTAACCTTAGATCTTTTGCTTCCAACCTCCATCCTTACAAAGAAAAGTTCGAAAAAACCATCACAAAGTAACCTCTGAGATCCAGAGTATATATAGTTTGCCCAAGATCAGTCAGTATCAGAGGTGGAAGCTACAATGACTTAACCATCCAGTTAGTCCTCATCACACTCTCAATTGTGTGCTTTCCTGTGCTACCTCAGAACTGCCAGAACCAGCTCCATCTGCTCCAATGTTGTCTTCTTAGGTGGTGACCAAAGACATGGTTACTTTGGAGATAGATGCTGTCTGCTATTACCGGTTGGAGAATGCCTCTCTTCTCCTCACCACCCTGACCAGCATCTCCAGTGCCATCCAGCTGCTGGTGCAGACCACCACGAAGCGCCTCCTGGCACATCAAGCCTTCTCTGAGCTTCTGCTGGAGAGGAAAAACATTAGCCAGGAGATCAAGGTGCTTCCATGGGGAGGGGGACAGCAGAGCTAGGGGTGAATTGAGGCTCTTCAAAGAAGCTCGTTCAGGTGGTCAGTCCCTCAAAGTCACAGACACTGCTTTGAAGAAGGATTCCAGACTTGGAATCACTGTGGACTCCAGTTAAATCATCCCAAACTCCCAGAGTAAACACAAATTGGAAGTGAGGACAGTAATTTAATTTCTGAGGGGTCTTGCACAATAGCATACAAAACCTGATAAATCTGCCTCACAGTCCTGCAATTAATGTCCCTGCCTTGTCTTACTCCCTGTAAGGAGTCTAGGCCAGGGCTGCTGTTCTCCCCATGCTCTAAAAATATTCCTCTTCACAGGTGGCTTTGGATGCAGTCACGGGCTGCTGGGGGATCAAAGTGGAGAGAGTAGAAATGTAGGTAGGAAATGCTGGTAGAAGGGAATTCCCTGGTCCTTTGCAAGAACCCATCCTACTCGCTGCTGCTTGCTTTTCTTCTTGCTTTGTTTCTGTCTCTCTGTCTCTCTCCCTGCAGAAGGTAGAGCCTCGCCTCTCACCTTCCTATTTTCCCTGCTCCTTTCAGCCTCATGTAAAACTTCCACATGTCAGACTGTTCTTGCTCCTGCACTGACAGCCAGGGCAGGATCCTTAGCTGGGGTCTCATCACCATTTCACTGCTGCTGCAGGCAGAGTTTGCACCCAATTCTGGTAGCCCACGAGGTGCAGGAGGCACTGAACCCTCCATGTCCCAGTCTAGATCAAAGGCCCCAGGGTCTTTGAGAGGGATGGGCTCATCACTCAGAAGTCTGTGCACAAAGGTGGGACTCAATCATCGTGTACAGGGACATGGAAGAGAGAGCCAAGCAGTGAATGAATAAATCTGTGACAGAACATTCCTGTGCCTGTCTCGAGAGCAGTCTCCCAGTGGAGTCTCTGCTCTCTCACAGAGTGAGCTTAAACTTTGAGCCTCAGAGGTAGAGAGAGATGTCTCTGCTGCCTAGTGATCATGCAGTCCTGGTCACTGCAAAACCAGGCTCAAAGAGAAGGATGGGAATGGAGGTAGAAGGCTAAAGTCAGGCACGCAAAGAGGAACAGCCAGGGAGCAAAGAACATAAAAGAATACTCTGCAGAGACTGACTGATGAGCCCATTCCAAGCTTCAGATTGACCATCCAGTGCTGCCAGGAGAGCCAAGAGCCCAGCTAATCCCTCTCCTTTCCTGCCATAGCAACAACGTGCAGCTGCCTGCTGAGCTCCGGCAGTCCCTGGCTGTGGAAGCAGAGGCCCAGAGACAGGCCAAAGTGCGGGTATGCCAACTCTGAATACTTCTTATCTCCTTCCAAAGCATTCCTCCTTCCTTTCCCAGCCCTGATCTGAGGTCCCTGGGACATGCCACACAAGCACATGGCTCTGGGAAGATATGTTTTCTTTAATTCCTGTTCAAGAGCTGGGTCTAGCAAGGGGAGCCCAAGTGTGACCTCTGATGGGCCCAGTAAAAACACATTAGACACGAGCTCCTAAACTTTTGGCAGCATCAAGAGGTCTAGTACATGCTGTGATCTTCAAAGAGCAGGAAAGTTATAATCACACCGGCCCAGGGAATTTCGCTGTGGCAACCTCCCTCTGTAACAGTCTGTGCCACCTCACTCCCGGTGGTCACAGAACTCCCTCACTCCCCTCACTCACAGAAACCTCCTTTCTTCCCCTACTTGGCAGGTGATCGCTGCAGAGGGGGAAAAGGCAGCTTCCGAGTCCCTGCGGATGGCAGCTGAGATCCTGTCCAGTGCCCCTGCTGCTGCTCAGCTCCGTTACCTCCATGCACTGCACTCCCTCACTGCAGAGAAACCCGCTGCTTTCATCTTGCCCTTCCCTCTGGATGCCATGAACCTGGTCTCTCCGGCTGCCCACAGCCCTGCAGCCGTGAGCAGCCTCCTCCCAGACACCACAAAGCTCCCAGAAAGCCTGAAAGACAAGAAGGACTCCCCCATGCTCTGAGAGCTGTCCCAGAAATGGCTCCCACACTGCTCCTGGTCAATCCTGCTCAGAGAGGAGCAAGAGGGCTGGCTTATTGGCAGCCCACCGTCAGGTCCTGGTCTGGAGGCAGGAGGGGAGGCAGCCCAGGCCTGCAATATAAAGTGGATTGTATGTGGAAAAAGCCTCTACTTGTTTTGGAAAGTTAAAAATAAGGAGCAGGCCTGGCAGGTGTGTGAGCAGGAGGTCGGGGGAAGGGGGGTGTCATCCCTTCCCCATGACAGGGCCAGATGCATCCTGACACCTTAGAGCCTGGCCCCCAGAGTCTGATCCATTTTGTCCCATCACCTTGACAGGAGGGACAGAAATACATTCTATGTATTTAAATGCCCCCCACCCCCAAGCCAAACAGCTGGGTGGGTGGGAGTGGGAGCCTGGAAATCCATGGGGGAACAAGAAGGGGCTCAACACTCAGGTAGGATGGTGGGTGCCTCCAGCCTCGTTGTCCTGCGAGGAGGGAACAAGCCGGGAACGAGCTGGGTCTGTGGTGCTGTCCTGGATTTGGGATTTCAGTCACCACTCACACACAAATACATCCACACACGAGCAAACAAGATGTTTAGCCCTAACTTTAAAGTAGGAGGAAAAGTAAAAGGAGGAAAGGGCAGCCTTTGAGGCTGGTGATTCCCTGCCCGGCACATCCGCTGTACAGAGGAAAGGCAGGCTGTGCTGCTGCTGGCTTCCACAGGGTGGTGAGGCAGGACAACGTCTGAGCTCGCGGGCACCTAAAAACGTTAAGGTGACCCGATTAACCAACGCCCACTGGGCTGACGAGGGGGAATCCGGCACCACTGGGAAGAGCCATCTGAGAACCTTGGGAACTGCAACACTGCAGCTGCCTGAGAGACAAAGGAACAGAGAAGGGACAGAGTTCTCAATACTCCTAGAAGCCTCAAAACTCTGATACATCTTTCCTGACTAAAGCCGTTAGAAATGACCAGGGACCTACAGACATTGCAGTCCTTCCCCTTGGCAAAGATCTAGAGCACTGTCAAACGAAATACCCCTGCACTCACTTTGTCTGATCCTGGTGCCCTTTGGGTAGGTGTCCCTCCTGCTTTTCACTGGACCTGCACTGTCTCCCCTGGCTTCAAAGCAGACCTTCCTGCACAGCCATTCCCAGCACCAGTGTCCTGCTGCTGGTAAAGGCCAAGATAGAGAGCACTTTCTCCCAGTTGCCCCCAAATTGTTGCCATCATGCATTTGTCTAGTAGGGGTTACCCAGCCACTTGCTCACTCTTGAATTTTCCCTTATCCACAGCTGCTGGTAACACTCACAGCTCCCATAATACTCATTCTACAAGTATCTGCCAGCCTTTTTACAGCAAGGACACCTGGAAAACCAGCCCCCTTACAAGTGGTTGGGAAGTGGGAAAAATCCACCTGTGAACTTGGTGATCACACAAGCACGGGAGCTCCAGGTGTAACCTCACATCTACATCACTCTGCCACTGTAACCCTCTCAGGAGAGGGTGGCAGGATGGCTCCTGTGTCTGTAATAGATCTCAGTGGTGATCTGCTCATGGAAAACTAGCTCTAGGAAGTCAAACAGCTCTGTCATCTTCTACTAAGGAACATGAGTCGTGTGGTTACTCCTCTAAAACTGCTTCTGGTTATTTCTCATGCTGCTGGAAAAGGCCCCTCTTTCCCAACCTCGGGCAAAAGGGTATAATACTACACAGTGAGCTGCAGCTGATCCTTTCTCTGAACACTTCTCTGGCTGCTTTTCTAATTCCATGTAAAATGATCCATCCAGACCAAGATTCTTAGCACATCGAAGACCAACACCTTTACAGATAATGTCTCACTTTGTCAGGGCACACAGATTACCCTGTTGGCACTTGTATCTGCAGAAGCCAGGCACAGCTTTTTTCAAACATTTAATTCTTCTGCGGTTACAGGAAGGCAAATTATAGCTAAGAGCATCCTCAGTTCCAAAAAGCATGTCTTGTTCCAGCAGGATCTTCTCTCTTTTACATACGCAGAGCTGGGAGAAACTTGTCATTTTACCTTCAGGAGATATTATGTTCAAAAAACCTGCAGAACATCATTTAAAAATGTAGTTAAGGGTTATTGATATGTTTCCAAAAGAGAATTTACTCTGAGGGAGTTGGCAAGGATTGTCTGAGCTGATGTAATTCCTGACAGTTTCACTGCCTGCTCTTCCAAGCTGAGAATGGGTCAAATTGCAGAGTCATCCCGATTTTTGTGCATTTTCTTCCTAACCAGTCAGGCAGCTGGTATTTGGATCATCTGAAATCCAAAAGATGAAGGAGGTACTCATTATCAGATAGAAAACCAGGCTATGCTGGCACTGAGGAAAAAAACCTTGAGAGGAGAGTGAAGAGGTGCAAACAACTTACTTGCATGATCCAAAAGGGATGAGGCAGAAGGAGATAAAGCAGCAAGAAGTGATTGATGAGCACAAACAGAAGGGGCACAGGCAAGAGAGTTGTGGGGAGGAGAAAGTTGGGGTAGCAGTGGTATTACAGGGATGACAAGCTGCATAGATATTAGAACTGTGGGAGGAGGCAGAGGACAAGCAAGACAGATGTGGAAGTGGTGAAGGCAAGTAGAAGAACAGCATAAATGCTGAGATGGCACAGAGATGCTGGGGTAGTAGGTAAGGGGTGAAACACTACAATGAATGGGAACCAGGACATTGCTCAGGCGTTGCTGTTCTTCAGTATTTGCTTTTTCTGGATCTCTTGGGCTGGCCAGAGGTAGCAGCTTTGGGACTTGGGCAGGCCTCGACTTCTAAGACGCTTTCTTGGAAACATCTTTCTGAAAGAGAAACAAAACAACAAACCAAAGCCATTACAAATACCACAGAGTTAAAATGTGCCCAAGATATCACATCTTTAACAAAAAAAATTGGCCTCTCCTCCCACTTTGATGTCAAAGAGACAGGATATGCTAGAGGAATAAGGAAAGGAATTTTAATTCCCATTTTTTCTCCACATTTTATATCTCGTGGATCTAGCTGAGAAAGGACACAAGGAAATGCTTCACCCACAACAAACTTTTGACCTGAGGAACTCACTGCCACATGGTATGGGCAAGATCAGTGGGTCAGCAGTGTTCAAATATCTCCTGGAGGGAGCAAGAGTGTCCTGTGGTATAAACACAAAAGGCCTGTGGCCTCTGAGAGTGAAGGAACCTGGAACATCCTTTCTTTTCTACTCCAAAATCAGTGATCCTAAACAGATCTTCTTGGCTGTAACAGGGAAAACTCACCTACAAGGCAGATGCCACTAGTTACATGATCTTCTAGACATAGACCCTGTGTTGCATATCAAAATCAAACAAAATTAGTTTCTCTCAAAAGCAGATCATATTCAGCAGTTCTTTCTGCCCTGATCTAGAATCATGTTAAAAGCCTCCTTGCTTGACCTCTGACAAAGAGTCAAGACAAAACCCTGGGACATGTCCAGGAGAGGAGGGTTCTGCACTAAACAGGAGGTGAATGAGGTACTCTCAAAGAGTGCTTCACTCTCCGAGTCTGTGACAGGGTTCAGAATACTGATTCTCCTGACCTTGCCTTTCTTTGTGTGTTGCTTCTGGGATGACTTTCCCATCTTTCTCCAGCTCACACTCTAGCTCTTTGATTCTCTGCAGAGCTTCTTCCGGCTTCTCTTCAAGACCTTCAGATCTTTCCTCTGCATTCTGAGCACGGATCTCTGTTTTTCTGAAACATAGAAGCAAAGTTAATGCTAAAACCTGAAATCTAAGGAGCTGCTGGCAGGATACCCAAAGGAAAGATTTAGAGAGCTGAGGTGTCCAGTGGGATTGACTGACTCTACAAAACATGTTTATGGTTTCAAAGAAGGGCATTGTTAAAAGATCTACAAAGGATTTCATGGCTCATCTATGTAAACCCTGCAAATTTAATTAATTTTAAAATTCAGTGTTTGCTAGCAAAGGGTGAGATGCTGATCTTCATTATGTGAGGATAAGTACAGTCAATTCTATTAGCAAGGCTAATGAGGTGGGTTTTCCCTGGATAATGCAAGCTCACAGGCAAAACAAGTATGAGGGAATGCAACTCAGAATGGCCAAGCCATACTGCTTAGGCATGGAAGAAGTCATAACCAAACACAAACCTTGGTGTGATTCTGCATGGAGACACTTGGGTATACCCTCATTGTGTTCCTCACACTGAGGCACAACGTTGTGTGGCTGTTCCTACCACACTCCAGGGGACTGGCAGGCCCTGGAAGAGCTCAGCTGCATTCACACAGCACCCTGCAAGTGCTAACAGGACCTGAAAAATTTTAGCTCCTGCAGAAAACTATCATGAGTACCTCTCAAATGGCCCAAGACATTCAGAATGAAAGGAAACCTGAAATAAGGCCATCAGATATTGGATGAAGCAGAACCTTACCACACAGAAGAACCAGCACCTGCCTGAAATGAAACCCTGCCCTGTTTTTACTGTTTTTATATCCATATTCATTACAAACACTTTTTTTCCTACTATGTATCCATCCTTCTCCCAGTTCTTATTTAGGATCATGTGCTGCTGATCAGCCACATGGTGCGTTCTCATGTCCAGAATTCAGCAACAAAACAGAAATCACACACCACACCATCTAGAACCCTGGGAGAAAGAAGTAAACCCACAGAGAGCCAGCAGGCACAACAGCTCTCTGAACAGGAAATATCAGTGTTATTCCAGAGAAAATGCTTGCTAAAAGTGAAACAAAATTGTGTTAATGCACTGTACAGGAGACATTACAGCTATTTTTAGGAGTTCTCCTCTGCTCCTTTGGCTGGGAGACAAAAGCCACAACTCAACTCAAACAGGAAAGTGTCGAAAGAGAAACAAGCATTCCTCATAACTGCACTCCAGCCAGAAGGAAATTAAAGACTGAATACTAGATAGAGTGCCCTTATCCCTAACAGTTGCAGACTTGCACTTAATTTTTTTGTTAAGAATCTCATTATTCATGGACAGAACCCACTGCTGAATCATCTGAAAGAATTCTCTAGGTACCACCCTGAAAAAAACCCAAATCCAGAAACAAAGTGACCTCTAGTGCATCAGCCCCAGGGATCTCCTGTCTCAAAGATACCTTTTGCTCCCCAGCTAAACAAACCCAGCATATCTAAGTACACCATACACTGGAAACCTGACACAGGCTTTTTTGCTAAGGCTGTAGTTGTGGGCAGACCTGGCATTTGCAAGGAATTTCACACAGACACGTTATGCACGTGCTCTGCAAATGATTCATTTCTGGATGACATTTACCAAAAACAATGGAGCACCATGAAGAGGAATATACCCCCAGAAATCTGACTGTAAATGAATCACTCATTTTGGTTTTTTTTCAAATGTCAAGATTTCCAAAGCAGTTGGCAGTTCTGAGGGAGATGGGGATGTTCCAGGAATGATACTGAAGCCACCAACTGTTTCCACAGATATTGCCAAATCAAAGCAGATGAAAGGCAGTCACCAATCATTTTAACGCTTCAGTTGATCGTGTTTATCCCACTTTCAGTTTTCTGTGCTAGGGACTCCACCAAAGGACATTTCTCTTTTCTCACAAGTGTAGTTTTCTGTGCAAGGCCAGCCCAGGTCCAATTAACACCTCTGTCCTTAAAGGAAAGGTGGTTTATCATCACTTTCAGCTTCATGCAACTGGCTGGAGCCTATAAAGCTCATCGCTGCATCCACCTGGGCCAGCCACAAAGGAATCTGGTGATAAAATGCAGGCAGCTCAGCTTTGTGCATGCCAGGACCTCACTTCAGTTTCTGCACCACTAATAACCAATCTTCCATACTTCTCACCAAGGCTGTCAAAAACATAGCTGTGCCTGCAGGGGAAGAAAATACAACCTTTAATTATAATTCTTTCAGCCAACAAAAATAAAGCTGGATTCTGTGGGGGATGCCAAGAGGGATGAACAGCCTACGTGGGAACTGGCTACACTTAGAATTAAGAGGGAGCTATTTAGCAAACACTGAATACAAAGCAAACTGAAAGAAAATGGGCTTAATTTGAAGCCCTGACTTCTTGTCTTGGCATATTTGGCTCCCTCATTGCATAAAGACTTAATATAATTCTTTTTAAAACAGCTTTGCAGTTACAATCCCATTCTTCAAAGATGAAGGTGATACAGTAAGCACAGATGTGCCTGGACAAGGTAGTAAATTACTTGTTCATTCACTTGTCTGGCACATGCTGATGGATATTCCCTGTTTGTTGGGGAATATGCTTGAAATGTAACAGTGCTTGCTCTTGATAGCCAATGTTGAACTTTATTTAAATCCTGGTGAGGTCCTGGCCTCTGTGACATCCTGCAGGAAAGTTGACATGTTAAATACGTGATGGTGATGACAATTTTTTTTTAATATTTCAGTGATTTTGGTGCACGGCTTGGCTTCCCTACTGTTTGGCTGTGGGGTAGAGCTAGTTAACTTCTCTGGATTGGAAGAAGTGCAGTGAAGTTGGGATGTCCAGACCAGTAAGAAACATCTTATTCTCACACTGGAAGTACTCTGTGAAGGCTTTATACAGTGATCAAGGAAGACTGAATACAAGCAAAGACCTCAAACCAAACCTTATAAATTTCCTATAAGTCCTTTCTTACACCTCCTGGCTGAAGCAATCTCATATGTCATTGTTGTCTCTCCATCTCTCATCCTTGTTATCAAAACCTTTGTATTTCTGGCACATGTTGCTTCAGACCAGGTAATTAGATCTCAGAAGATAATGAACACTTCAGGTAAATAGGTGCTGTTGCCTCACAGGACAAAATTACCATGTTCTCAGTATTGTCTCTTACCTATTCTTTATAATCTCTCTCATTTTCACTGTTTCTTACCAAAGAGCCACTGTAAAGAGAAGGGATACCTTGTCTTTTTCTACTGAAAGGCCATTCATTTCATTACAATGCAAAAATGAATCCAAGCCACTCAAAACATGCTGCATTGGATGGACCAAGAGAACACCTTTCCTGTGGCCCAGTTCCCAAAGTCTGTGTTAAAATAAGCTAACATTTCTTTTGCTGGACTTTACTGGCTGAAGCAATTTTGGATAAGATATCCACCCTGTGCTGCTCAGCCCTGTGCTCAGACCATGGACCATCTGCCGTGCTGGTGTCTGGGCAATTCTGACCCCATTTCTTCTTATTTATAATGAGAAATACTCATACAGCATGGATAAGATAATGTAGGGAAAAGAACAGGATAACCCTGAGTGAAAGAATAAGATGACAGCATGAGAAGCAGCTTAGCAAACATGAGTAGCAGTTCCTGACAGCCCATGTTCAGTTCGGTTTTAGTCTGCAAGAAGGAAATAAAATGATTAAAAAAACCAGAGATGAAATAATTCTGAAATCAGGAATGAGTCAAGGTCTTGCAGGGGCAAAGGTTGAGAAGGTTAGTTCTGAATTACTCAACATTGTTTGTTATCTTACATGGGAGATAAGTTTATATCAGCAAAGAAAACATTTATTTACATTCTTTATTATCAGGATAATTCAATGTCTGGATGAAGATAAGTTGGCATAAGTGATAAGATATAAAAAAAAGTATTACCCTCCAAGACAGCATTATCTGGTTAATGATCTTCAAAGTGATGGTTTATCTTACATTTTAAACATCTGCCCTTTCCTTTTACTTTTATTTTCTTTTCCATAAATT